CATTGTGTTCTTACATGTATCTGGTCAATGAAGAGTTTGAATTTCGACACCTAGGTCTAAAGGTAACAAATTGCAAAGTTTTATGCACTTGACACAGATTACATCAGTAGTTATTGTACGAAATAACCATCATGGGGTTCAAGAATTTTTACAACTACACTTACTTTTTTTTTAATAGGAACACATTTTATAAGACCACTGAGGCTGAAATTGCTTTAAATTAAGAACAAAATAAGAACAAACTGAAGCTGAGATTAACTCAGGTATTTATTTTTTTTTAAATAGAAAGAACCAAAAATTATATCTGTATCTTTTGTGCAATAGGTGTGACTGTGTAATACCCTCTATAATACAGTACAGTAGGTATACCTGTCATTTTGGGTCATTTTATCAGGGGCCAATTTTTCTGGGGCAATTTGTATCTACATTCCAGTGACGTAGTATACTGCTGTACAACATGATAATTTTCTATTTAAAAAGTGTGTAAAATAAGAACAAAATAAGAACATTTTGAGCCTGAAATTGGTCAAAAAATAAGAACACTGAGCCTGGGAAAAATTTTACTGGTTCTTAACTCATGAAAAGATTGTTACAAATTTTTACCATCAATCAACAAGAGCTTGACAAGAAAAGTTTGAAATTTGGTACAAATTTAGAAACCAAATGAAGGGCCTAACAATGTAGCATTATTGTTTTTTGGTTCATCAATTTAGCACTGTCACGTATTTTAAAACATGGTCAGCTGTGTATGATCTTTCCTCATTTATGATTTGGCCTATTGAGATACGAACACAAACAATAAAACACAGGCCTATGTGATTAGCTCTGTGGTCCTCTCACGCTTTGTGCCGGGACACCCCCCTTCCCACACACAACCCCCGCTACGAGCCATTTAAAATAAGAGTCAAGAAAGTTTACCCCTAAAATGAGGGGGGTATGAGAGTCAAGAAAGTTTACCCCTGAAATGAGAGAGGGGGTTTCAAAAAAGTTGTAGGTCCATAAATAGGGGGTGGGGGAGGGAGTTGATAAAAATTTTAGGTTAGAAATAGGGGGTAAATTAATCCAAAAAGTTTTTAAACTTGAAAAATAAATTTTCCGGCCTCCCCACCCCCACCAACTCGTAGTAAGATATTTATAGTGCATGATGAAAACTTTTAAGTCTGTGAATTGTTGGAAGTGAACATTTATGATTACTGTATTTTAAATGAGCAAATTTACTTCTGATTTTTTAGCTGGCATTGTGGAACAATTGTTGGTGTTGCAGGTTTTAATACAGTCTAAATAGGTTAAAATATCTTACAAAACACAATCAACAAATCATATACATTGTAAACTAAGTAAAATGCAATAGAAAAAGAACCCCTAATACCATTTCTTTTATAGAGTGCACAGGAAAGGTAGGAAAGTAAAGTAATCTATTACAATCGTGATTGGTCAAATTCTTAACTACTGTAATCTGGAGTCAGCAGGCAGCGTCAATAACGCCACGGAGGTGGAGTTGTGAGTGGCCCTAAGAATTTTGCAAAGTACTGTAAGTCAGAAGATTGTTTCCACAGCTACAGTAGATAATGAGCAAAACATGGTCTAAAAAGGCAAACTGCTTATAAATCATCCCTGGACTATTCTGCTCACTTTTGTAGTTGAGTGTCAACATACTGTTTATGTATGTTATACTAAATAGAACTAAATGCTCAAAAGTCCTGCTACCCTTTCATGTTGCCCTTGCATAAGCTAGTCATGTGACCATCCATTCTCCCATGGCCTGCATGTTCTGTCTAAAGCTTTAAACCCTCCTACACAATATATCAGTCTCCAACTCCCCCATCTTACAAGGTGTTATGAATAAAATGCTCTTCAAGTATAATCAATTATGTTATTAGATATGTTGTTGCCATGTGTTTAATATGTCATAGTAACTACTTTAATGTATCCTGGGTACAGCAAAGAGAACATTACACTGAGTTTTTGACAAAATAGTTTGAGAAGAACAACGCTTTTCAGAGTCATATCAAAATTGTCAAAATTCACAATATGCATGTAGGCCGACATCACATGCAAAACTTCCGGTACCAACATTCAAACTTGATTCAAACATGTTAAAATGCATGTTGCATGAATAATTTGCTTGAAAAAACTACAGCAGTTGAAAATAAGTCAAACAAATATTATAAGAGTGTTTAGTGGTCTTGAAGCACCATGCATTAAAACCATGAAAACTGTAGTAGATAGGCCCATACTTACTCTCAAGCAGTGCAGAGATGGGTGATCGCAGGTTTCAACTAATTTGGCAGCTGGAAACTCTTTGGATAATTTGATCTCTCCACATTCCTGGCATTTCATGATGATGGTCACAACTTGTGGTTACCCTGGAAAATAAAATGAAAGTGAAGAAAAGATTTAAAGGACGAAATATTACTATACGTTTAAATTATCCAAATATGTCTCAGAAGAAGACCAAATAAAATGATCATTAACAACAATCAGCTTGCATGGGCAGCCAAAAAATTCTTGATGTTTTCAAAGTTATACAATTTCATGTAGGTACTAACCTAATGAAAGTTGCCGTAAGTTTTGAATATGACATCCAATTGACTTGTATAGTGGCTTATTTTAAGGCCTATAACATGGCAAGTGTTAACAAACTATTTTTTTTAAAGCAGATATAACAATTGAAAATTTTAAGAAAAATTTCAGAGATGTAATTCTGTTACCATTTTACATAATTCCATTACTGCTACCATTTCTAGTAAAAAAGGCCAGACATTATTTGATGATATACAAATACTTTCCTCCTACTGTATGTAGATAGCTGGCTATGAAAATAATTATACTGTATCAATGATAAACCAAGGCCAAGGTGTTATGGATTTCATACATTCCTTTTTAAAAATTAAAGATAAAAAAATCCTTAATTTTCTGACGTAATTCTGTTATGCACTTGTAATTGTAGTCCCGGGCCCCCCCCCCCCTTCCACCACCCGAGCCATAGCGGGGCACTAGCTAGCACTAGACCAGGAGATGTACATATAATTGTGTCCCCATAGATTTAACCGGCCTCTATAGGGTTGGGGTTTCAGGTGTAGTGCTCTCAAATGGACTTTCTGGTCCTACCTGGCTTACACCATGGACCTCCATGCTTACACTAGGCCTAGGCATACGGCAATTGCTGTGTGTTTTTTGGTAATTTAAAAATCGCAACTTGTACTGTAGGCCTACCATCATGGTTTCATTTTTTATAGATCACAGTATATTAAATAAAAACAATATTCGAACCTCCACTACACAACGAGGACCGAAGTGACGTGTGTCGTAAACTATCATATTATTATTAATACAACAGAACATATTTCTATTATTATGTATGAACGCAATTATTGCATACCTCAATTATTTTCCAAATAGTCTGCAGTACAAACGTCTTCAAGATTTATAATCATCTGATAACCTAAAACTAATCATTATTGATAATCTAAAAATAATTATTGATAATCATTTATCAAAAACCATCAGGCCTAAATATGAGTATTTGCATCCAAAACAAATGATTAATATATATAAAAACAACAATCAAGCGCAGCCCTTCAGTTAGCCAAATCCTGATTATTCATGGTGTAGTCGTTTCGACCCTGAGTCGATTCAGCCTGGGTTGATTCGGCCCGAGTCTTTCGGCACAGGTCATTTCGGCCCTGAGTCGTTATTTTTGTCATGCATTTCAGCCGTGGTGTATGGACTGCCGAAGGTGCGGCCGCGAATAGTAATTTAATAGAACAAGGTGGCAAAATAAGCAGTATAACACAAAACTTAGGCTATATTACTGCAACATTATTATTAAAGAGTTCATCAACAGTATCAAATGGTGTTTTCTTTCTTTTTACAGAAACATTGCAAATGTTACAAGTTGATTGGTTTGGAGACACATTTCTTTTTATCGTTTCCATACGATATATATTTGGATCATGTTTATAAAATGCTTCAATAAAATTTAGATTTATAAAAAGTAGGCTTATAATTGATTTAGCGGATTAGTTCAAGTTGTTTTTTTTTGTTTGTTGCATCTCTATTTACATTACCAAATGTTGTATTTATAACAATACATATATAAAATAAATTAAAATATATTGAATGATGTGATAATGAAAATAAAGCAAATATATTATTGTAATCATAAGGCCAACAAAATCACTCATTGCATAGAAATTAACTAAAGAAATTACTAATGTCTCTTATACACATCTAGATGTGTATAAGAGACAGGTATTATTACTAGAATTATTATACAATTATTATTATTTGTTGCTCACCTTTTCCATGTAATCGTTTGAAGAGTTCGCTAAGAAATCGCCAGCATTTGCGTCCTCCCGTATTTTCTTGTTTATTTGACAGATATTATCGTGATGGTTGTAATTCACAGAAAAACAGTAAGTTGTTCTTGAGCAAGCCAACAGACACTGAATGCGATTAACCATCTTTAGCTCCTGACTCCAGCCTAGCAAAACATGCTGTTTAAGAATAACATACTGCGCGTTGTTAGCAAGAGTAATATTGACTCCCAAATAGAAAAAGACGGATGTCAAGACAGCAAGCACATATGGTCTAGCAAGTATGGAGAAAATGAATAACGTCTTTTATCTTGTAAGTTCTATCTGCAATAAGGTAAGCACTTATATTCGAGTCAGTGTATTGCAGAAAATATCATACAGATGAGCACGATCTTGGTTACTACAAATTTGTCAAATGGGAGGGGTTGTAATATCGTGTAACTGAATAAACCAATACGTCGATGGCTGTCTCTTATACACATCTAGATGTGTATAAGAGACAGGTACCAACATTCAAACTTGATTCAAACATGTTAAAATGCATGTTGCATGAATAATTTGCTTGAAAAAACTACAGCAGTTGAAAATAAGTCAAACAAATATTATATTAAGAGTGTTTAGTGGTCTTGAAGCACCATGCATTAAAACCATGAAAACTGTAGTAGATAGGCCCATACTTACTCTCAAGCAGTGCAGAGATGGGTGATCGCAGGTTTCAACTAATTTGGCAGCTGGAAACTCTTTGGATAATTTGATCTCTCCACATTCCTGGCATTTCATGATGATGGTCACAACTTGTGGTTACCCTGGAAAATAAAATGAAAGTGAAGAAAAGATTTAAAGGACGAAATATTACTATACGTTTAAATTATCCAAATATGTCTCAGGAGAAGACCAAATAAAATGATCATTAACAACAATCAGCTTGCATGGGCAGCCAAAAAATTCTTGATGTTTTCAAAGTTATACAATTTCATGTAGGTACTAACCTAATGAAAGTTGCCATAAGTTTTGAATATGACATCCAATTGACTTGTATAGTGGCTTATTTTAAGGCCTATAACATGGCAAGTGTTAACAAACTATTTTTTTTAAAGCAGATATAACAATTGAAAATTTTAAGAAAAATTTCAGAGATGTAATTCTGTTACCATTTTACATAATTCCATTACTGCTACCATTTCTAGTAAAAAAGGCCAGACATTATTTGATGATATACAAATACTTTCCTCCTACTGTATGTAGATAGCTGGCTATGAAAATAATTATACTGTATCAATGATAAACCAAGGCCAAGGTGTTATGGATTTCATACATTCCTTTTTAAAAATTAAAGATAAAAAAATCCTTAATTTTCTGACGTAATTCTGTTATGCACCTGTCAATTGTAGGCCCGGGCCCCCCCCCCCCCTTCCACCACCCGAGCCATAGCGGGGCACTAGCTAGCACTAGACCAGGAGATGTACATATAATTGTGTCCCCATAGATTTAACCGGCCTCTATAGGGTTGGGGTTTCAGGTGTAGTGCTCTCAAATGGACTTTCTGGTCCTACCTGGCTTACACCATGGACCTATTAATAGGTCCATGCTTACACTAGGCCTAGGCATACAGCAATTGCTGTGTGTTTTTTGGTAATTTAAAAATCGCAAATCTGGTACTGTAGGCCTACCATCATGGTTTCATTTTTTATAGATCACAGTATATTAAATAAAAATAAAATTTTAACCTCCACCACACAACAACGAGGACCGAAGTGACGTGTGTCGTAAACTATCATATTATTATTAATACAACAGAACATATTTCTATTATGTATGAACGCAATTATTGCATACCTCAATTATTTTCCAAATAGTCTGCAGTACAAACGTCTTCAAGATTTATAATCATCTGATAACCTAAAAATAATCATTATTGATAATCTAAAAATAATCATTGATAATCATTTATCAAAAATCATCAGGCCTAAATATGAGTATTTGCATCCAAAACAAATGATTAATATAGATAAAAACAACAAACAAGCACAGCCCTTCAGTTAGCCAAATCCTGATTATCCATGGTGTAGTCGTTTCGGCCCTGAGTCGATTCAGCCTGGGTTGATTCGGCCCGAGTCTTTCGGCACAGGTCATTTCGGCCCTGAGTCGGTATTTTTGTCATGCATTTCAGCCGTGGTGTATGGACTGCCGAGGTGCGGCCGCGAATAATAATTTAATAGAACAAGGTGGCAAAATAAGCAGTATAACACAAAACTTAGGCTATATTACTGTAACATTATTATTAAAGTGTTCATCAACAGTATCAAATGGTGTTATCTTTCTTTTTACAGAAACATTGCAAATGTTACAAGTTGATTGGTTTGGAGACACATTTCTTTTTATCGTTTCCATACGATACATATTTGGATCATGTTTATAAAATGCTTCAATAAAATTTAGATTTATAAAAAGTAGGCTTATAATTGATTTAGCGGATTAGTTTGTTGTTTTTTTTGTTTGTTGCATCTCTATTTACATTACCAAATGTTGTATTTATAACAATACATATATAAAATAAATTAAAATATACTGAATGATGTGATAATGAAAATAAAGCAAATATATTATTGTAAACCTAAGGCCAACAAAATCACTCATTGCATAGAAATTAACTAAAGAAATTATTAACCAACAGTATTATTTTGAGGAAAGAAATGTTTTCAACAATTATGTTGAGGTGAAGCAGACACATGGTTTGTATCTTCTTTCCATTGTCGATACATATTTTGATTAGGCATGTTTATAAAATACACAAATAAATGGAACTAGTCAAATATAGTTTAAATAAAATGTATAGGCCTACAATGTTAATGGCTGTTTCAGACTTCTTTTGATATTGAGCCGGAAATTTCACTCACAAGGCCTATTGTTCATTGGAAACCAACTGTAAAAATCGGAAAGAAACGCCCAAAAACAGGTTCCCACGGTACTCTTTAGGGTGAAGCAGACATCCTTTGTATGCCGCCTTCATGAATGTGTGGGTGCACTACTGCAAAGAGTGAAGTACTGGTAGGTCAGATGATAAAATTAAACTGGCTATTTTTAGGTGCAAACACATTCCATGGTAGTGAATGTGTACGCGTGTGTTCACCTCTCGTCTGTGGTTCCGATATTTTAAAAAAAATTCAAATTTGTTTAAGCTTTAATATTTCATTTACGGTATATGGACAAGGCCCCTGCCGGAAGGATCCAGAGATGTCCGACAGGGGAACTGAAAATGGGGCCGATTTAAATAACACCGCCCTAAGGGGAGGTCTGCAAATATTTGTTTTCTAGACAGATGCTCGAATGATATGTAACCTGAGGCGTTTTGGGCGAAACAATAACAATTGTAAAAATTAAATAATAATCATACTGCTGAAAAAAAAAAAAAAAAAGTATTAGGCCTAGGTCATATTTTTGTCTTCTTGTGGAGGGGCGCTGTGAGCGTTTTCTTTAAACGGATACCGGCGCTTTGAAAGTTTTCATTATTATTATTATGTACAATCCTGTGTCAAGGATCGTAAAAAAAGACAAAATAAATCATACTCAAACACAAAAAAAAAGCTCTTAAAAAATACAGAAACCAAATAAACCACAGTGCGTACTTGGCGCTCCATACTACAATAAGGGCCAACCACTTTTGACCCGGGTCGTTTCGGCCTTCTCTAGCCCGGGTCGTTTCGGCCCAAAAGGGGTCTAAACGACCCGGGCGAATCGACCCAGGCCGAATCGACTCAGGGCCGAAACGACCCGGATTCCGGCCCAACACGATCAACGCAAACGTCGTTGACGTCAGCACTGTTTCAACTTTGCGTATAAAGAGTCGTAAGAATCGTATATGAATCGAAAGAAATTCTGACTTTTACGTCGACAGGCAACCAGGCTTAAATAACATACCGGTTAATTCACTTCGATCTGGATATTTTTTATATATATATTATAGGCCTAGAACCGTGTCTACGAAGTCGAAAGTTCAGGAAAATTTAACATACATGAGCTGATCAGTACCACAATATTATAACCGTTACTGTTGTGATAAAATATAATGATACCATATCCCGCTAAGCATTTACACCATCAAATTTCATCCAAATGGTATCTACAACGCTGCAATCCTGCGAACAATAGCTTTCTAAGTACAGCAATCTCACAAAGTTGTGTGGTTTTTCCCGTATCTCATGCCATGCTCTAGTGCGCCAACTCAAATAAAACACGGGATATTCCATTTGATATGAAGGTATGCCTGGTGCGTCACATTTTTAAGCGCTATAAACTTTCCTGTATTTTACTATAAACCCAGAAAATACATCGGAGGCATGGCTTGTAAAACTTTTAGGCGTGTTTTACCCTTTTCAGTTACAACATGTGTATAAATACAGAGAGCCAGGGGGGAGACAAAAGAGTGATAAGTGAATGGATGTGGAAGGCAATCTTTCTGCAAACCTGTAGGTTATAGACCTCTGAGAGGTATCCGACCAGTTGGTCGAAATATAGTTTCCCAAAACCCGGTTTGCCGAATTTAGGCCGCTTTGCCGAAACCAATTTGCCGAATCCAGTTCACCGAAAACATGAATTCCCAGTTGGTCGAAGCCCACTTTGCCGTATTTTGCCGTCACCGCCGTACACAAGCGCAGCACACTACTTTTTTTCACAACTAAATGTAATCCTAATAACATCAATTATGTAGGCGAAACCGAATGTAAACTCAACTTAACATCCACAAAAAATATCGGTTAAAGGCCATCAAAATTGATTCTTTTTTGCTCACAATTTACCGAGCCATACCGTACTATCAGTGACATAGGCTTATATTATATATATATGTATATATATATAATCTGCGTGGTTAGCTTAAACCAGATCATGTAAAAAA